GTCGGCCGGGAGAGCCGATTTACGCATAGCAAATTCCTCACAGGAAGGAGAAGCGCCCGGCGAAGCCGGGCGTCACCATAAGAAGGAGGGAAGCCCGGCGTTAGCCGGGCGGCCCGACTGGTAAGGGAAAAAAGGCAAGCATTGTGAAGGAGATAACTGGAGAAAGAGATTGTGCGAAATAAACTGCGACAGCCCACATATGAGGGGCATAAATTTGAATGTAACAATATCACTAGTGTTGTGATATATATGAATCTGCCGATATCGCCAACGTTATAGAAACGTTATAGAAACTGAATGATGAACCAACTTTTACGGTCAGTACTGGATCTGTGCATTTCCTGAGGTCAAAAACGGAGATAACGTGAGGATTCAAGCTCGGGTCCACCTTCAAAAGATTAAATACGAAGAGAAATGATCAAACTCATAATTGGATTACCTCATCCTCATTTTCTTCTACTTCATCGTCATCATCGCTCTCTTCCGCTTTCTAAACTTGAACGCCATCAGAATGGATACGAAGTGATATACTGCTGAAACACGGCTGATACCTTCGACTTTTTCTTTGTTTCATCTTCTGGTAGGAAAGTCGAACTTCCTAAGGCAATGTACTGGTCAGAACAAGCAGAGCAAACAACTTGATGATTCTCCATCAGTGGATTGACCCTGCAATGGATTGCGAATGTGGATGAAAACTAAACACAGTACGCTATATGAAGTGAAAGTAGGAAGAATTAGGCTTACATTTCTGTTTGATATCTGCTTTTAGCGTTCTACTACTGACTGACTCAATCATGTTGGGTGGGCGCCAGAAGTTAGATAAAACCAACTTAAATTATTGCAATACAAATCCGTGCCGGACGTTCAATAGTTGTTTAAGGTGATCTTAATTCAAATTTTCTTTTCAAAAATTCCTAAAAACTTTATGGTCATCCTTATTGTCATAGAGATTTTTGCAATAATCTACATAGCATAACATCTAGCAGAGGAAAGAAGGGGATGCCTTATTGCCAGATGTTATGATTACGGCTGACTGGCAGCATTGGTGACTTTCGCGCGAAATCCTGTAGGGTCAGAGTTCCGCAAATCATGAATAACATGTCCAGTTTTCAACGTCAAGCGTTGACGCTCCTGCATTGGCCGGTTACGCTCTTGCGTCAACCAATGGCCCTCCGCTTTTTTGAGGGCGGTCGTCTACGATTTATACCGCACTGATCGATGTCTAATATCTTTTTGAATAAAATTTTTAGCACTATGTGCACAACCTTCTACTCAACTTTTCGGATAACAGGTTTGTAAAGAGCTTTACGCTTTTAGAGTAGAGCGTCAAGCGTCGGCGTCTGGCGCTATACTATTAAAAAGCCGAAAGTATAAAGACTAATAGTGGTAGAGATGAAAAAGATAAAGAAAGCAGATATTATTCTTTAGAAGCGGGCTCACCTCGACTTCTTCTTAGAGCCCGCTCTAATGTCGAACAAGTGGATGCCGAATGAATCATCAACCGCTCGAAGAACTGAAAATGTGTAATGAGACTTTTTTCAAGGTTAAAGAAAGACATCTCAAATGAAAACCATTCAGGTTTTGTCAATTCACACCCACACACCGCTGTCTTGAGAGACTCTTGCGAAGCCGGAAAGTAATTGTCGGTATAGAGTATGAAGCTATAAGTTTTATGATATTCGAAGAAATCTTTGGGTACGAAACAGAGAGAAGTTGAAAAATGTAAGGAAGTAGTTGCATTGAATGTGAGAATATAGGTACTCACGATGTAAGTAGAATACAGAAGTTCTAAAAGGCCATTTCAAAAAGATCAAAACGAGAGATTGGAAAAAGCACTTTTCCGTCCGTCTCCGTCTTTTCCCACCACCTTGCATGGTTCAGTCCTCTGACATTAATTCCTTTTGATATAAATGCCCTCATAGATACCTTAAGCCACAGCATACGACCGTATAACTCGTACAACGCCTTGAATTTTGACAATTCCATTGCTTTAAGGTTAATTAAAAGAAAAAAATGGCACGTGATATTTTCTGAAAGCATTTCGCTACATTTTTCCGTGACAATTTGACCTATTTATATTAACTGATTTATCGACGAAAGCCGGGAAGGTGTGGTCGAAAAATTTTCAAAATTGTCTAAAAATTCTGTATGAGAACCGCGTTCCTTTTTCGAACATAAACCCCCTCCCTCGGTTACTGATATACCCAGCGTCTTCGACCAAAGTCTTTTTTCGACGCAAGGATTAGGGATTAGGATGTATGCATTCGAATATGCTTATGATTGGAAAAGAAACATGTTATGCGTAGAGTTCGGCTTCTAAAGCATTTTTTACCATAAGATCAACGTGAGATCAAGGTTGGTGCTGAATTTTTTTCCCTTATACTTTAGAAGTGTTCCTAACTCCTGATAATTTTTGCAGATTCTACTGTCATGAAATACCCGTTTTTTTCGAAGCTTCAGTTATCCTACCTGGACTTCCTGTGAGATCGAAGTGAATTCCTACAACCCTCTTAGCAACATCTAGGGTTTGCTTTGATTTCCTTGCTTCCAAGTCAACGAGGTGAATGAAGTCGTTGCTTAACGTGGCTGCAACTGCATCTCTTCCGCCAAACGATATGTGGTTCACGTATACCTTAATCGTTCTTTGAGGATAGCATTTGTAAAAGCGAGAACTAAAAAAGGCGATTATGTATCTTTCGGTCGACGGGCAGGCAACTCGGTAAGGAATTGACTGCGCCCATGCTCCAACAGTGCAGGGCGGAGGAGGAAGGATATCCATCCAACGCCAACGGATGAACGCGGCAAACTGTGCTGTAACGATGTGGTGATCTGAACGGAGGTCAGTGGTGACATTGGGATTCAACTTTGAATTAAGGTAGAGAAGTAGCATCAGCTGGCCCTACTCATTCAATCTAGTTGAAACCTGGCCCCAAAGATAGACGCCAGAGTCGTCTAACTAACCACAAATTTCGCCGCACAGGTTACCGCGTCCATCCAGAATTGGGTGAATATATCCACACCCCATGACAGAACATTTCTGGTTTCAAAAGAACAATAGCTTTGAACCCACATGTTTGGTTAGACAACATCAGTTTAACCGGATTATTTCCACAAAATGCCCCTGAATGATCACCAGCTGTATGGGGGCTAGGCGACGTTACCACCTCACCGAGTGATTTACAAGCTAGAAATCCGGTGAAAACGTAGCTGGAGAGGGGGGGGGGNGGGTAGTGGACTTCGCGAGCTCATAATGGTGCCTAGGGACGTTTCTTAGTCGAGAAATAGGTTTTTTCGCCTAATTCTTTGAAGGGAAAGAGCCCCGGCTGGGTGAGCAAACTTGGTAGTCAGTTACCCTTCCTGCTCTGCACTGTTAGAAAAGTACGATGCCCTTCCTCTCCCCTTCCACATATGGTCAACAATTAGCAACAGAAAAGAAACGAATTGGGTAGAAAAGCGTAGTTCGCGGCCGCACGCGAACACTTGCCAAATGGTGCTATTTACTTGACGTCCATCACACTGTGGAACTTTTCTCCCTCGCCAAATATAGTAGTATTTGAGTATGTACCTCTGGACGACTGAGCTGTATCACAACTGGTTCGTCCATCGATGGCCTTTGGACCTGCAAAGTACTCATCGTTGTTTGCAAAACTTACGAGAAACATTGAAACCGTTGTGATTATGATGAAACCATGGTTTGTTGTCCGCCTTTCTCGAGGGGCACTTCCAGGTAATTTCCTCTACAAGACTAAGTCATCCCCATGGAGGAGCAAGAAATAACACAAGAAATCGTAGTACTGAACCGTTTTTTAAGAAAAATATGGATAGATGTCACGACGTAGTCCCTGTGAACGTTGAGCGCAGAAAAGAGCAAACATCCTCGTTGTTTCCATGAACTTACCCCTCACCACCTCACTACGTTTGAACCACGTGGCGAATCACAAACTTCGGAAGCGAAGGTGTAGTACTCCTTACAGGGAGAACGCTCTTGGTGAGGAAACAGTATGTAAAGAAAAGAGAGAAATTCGAATGACTTTCAGGATTCTTTCGTTTTCTTTTTGATTGGCATACAAATCTCGAACACAGCGGCACTTCTTTGAAGAAACATTCCTTTTAATTAAACTCGCCTAAAAGTTTCCCTACGCTCTTGATTTAGACAACTATTACAGACAACTATTCGAGAGAATGTGTCCAAAGAAGTGAGTAATAAAAATTAAAGGTTTATTTTAAGCGAAAAACGACATGAGGACAACAAATTAAGGAAAAGCCGTCGGATCAAAATAAGTGTGTGCGGTTGCGAAGCCCTTTCCGAATAGAGCGTGGCAGCTCGTCACAAATTAAAATATGATCGTGAAATTTGTAAATATAATACAATTATGAATACTAAGCTCAAATTCAAAACGTTGGGCTTTGGAAGGCCGTTTATCCATCATTTTAATACGTAGTTTCATGCAACCATTTCGGTAATCCTTTTCGTAACGTCTTTTGTTTGTAGTAACCGTGATTGCGTATACTATTGCATAAATTTCAGCTGAAATGTTGAAGCTCTCTCCTTCCTTGAGGGCCTGCATCTGTTTTATGTGTTCAACTGCTTCGTTTTTTTTCTTCAAGAACTGCCTTCAACACCACAAGTAGTGTGCTTTCAGAAATCATACTTTTCCAGGGCTCCCATTGATGTCATCAAGTGGAGGTTTATCGAGGGAGGAGTTTCTCATTTTGCAACAACAACTGATTGCACTGCGTAACCGAAACTATGAGCTCCAGGAAGCACTGCAGAAGAAGAACCAGGAAATTTCGCAGCTCAGTTCACCCAGATCCGAAGCTTTACAATTTGCAAATAAGGTTTGATTACAGAGAATTAAAGGCGCCATTTATCTGTTTCCTTCCCACTCTGTGAAAAATCATATGGTCTTGAATGTTGCATCCCTTTTTTGGCGCAGACTCTAAGGTGTGAAGAGAATTCTTCTATGGAGTTGTTGAGGGCTTAGTGGTCTTGATTAATGCCCACCGATAGATGCTCTGACGAGCTACTAATGACTTAACCCCATTACATGGTTGAATCATCTTGCGAAGTTGTGACTTTGACTTTGCCCTGAATTCTCCTCACGTTTGGGAATAGAACATTGAGTATTGTAAAATAACTTAACTTGCCCAAGTGAGTTTTCGGCGATTTCTTCTCCTTTACCGAGGCTGCAGAAGTTCCACCCAGTTCACTTAATGCGTGGTGCCTCTTGTTTCTGTCTAAGCCAAAATACCTTCTTCAAGCTAATAAATCGCCGTGACGGAAGTAAAGAAAAGGAAATAGCCCAGAAATATGAAGCTGAACTGGATGCGCTGAGAATGAAGCTGACTTCTCAAGAAGAAGAATTTCGGTTGCAGCAGGAGACTCTGATCGCGGAATTGAATAAGGTAATTGTTGTTGAAAGTTTATCTCTCGACGTTTGCTCTCGGAACAAAACTTTTATTGACTTTGAAACTATAAACTAAGAAACTTTGAATATATTATAGTTGTTTTAGATCGTTTCTCAAAACGAAGCGCTGAACAGCGAACTTGAGCATTTCAAGGCAGATGGGTCGATTTACTCCTCACCTCAAGCAGGTTTGTCCTTTCTCGAGAATTTTATATTTATTTATGCTTTACCATATTCATTAAAATGCTTTTTTACAATTTGTTCTTGAAGTCTCTTTGGCGTAATTCAGGAACGCCGTGTGAGCCACAACCATCAATTGTGGAAAATAGTGAATATGCATCGGTAGGGTCTCGTGAAGTTCTCACGGAAGCCTCGACATCTTCCAGGTCCTCCGTTGGTATTCAGTGCGACGGATCTGAAACGCCCTTATCGGATGCAGGTAATTTTGCATAATGGTGCACTAGGTTGAATGCAGTTGGGTTTCTTTCTTGTTGTACACCAATTATTGTTGTTTGAAGTGCACCTTTCAGTTGAATATTTCTAGTTGCCGTTACTATTAGGACTGCCTCGTTGTCTTATGTCTAGATGTTATTTGTTATTACATTAGGTTGCAGGGAGAGTTCTCTCGCAAAAATTTTGCAATAATTCAGATTTCTCACGGGGTTTTCTTGGATCTTCTACAAGATTACTATAAGATGAATACTTGTAGGCGCATATAAAATCCGGAGATAACATGTCGTATCTGACTATCTTCTTTCGCAGGGAAGGATGCATCGCCATGTGAACTGATATACGAATCGAAATCGTGTCAGGCTGACGAAGGGGTAAATGTTCCGGATTTGGAAAATCAGCTGCTGGAATATAAGGAAATGTGGGTTTTTGCTTTGATGGTTTTCTTCTGGAAAGGTTCTTATCTTTGAAGGTAGTGGCTGCCGAGTTGTTCATTAAGATAGGGTGTAGTTTGAATGCTTGAAACATGCGCGTATCTAGTTGATCAGATGATGAGGGCGAACCAATTAGATCAGTTTGGCAGTTTTTGACATAGTTACACTCACCAACGCATTGAGTCACACTAGAACAAGTGGTTTGTGACCATCCTAGTGTTTTTCTCGAGTTCACATTCTGGATTGAAACCTTCCATCTCCTGTGAAAGAGATATGGCACAAAAAGTAGTCAATAGGAATACTACTAATTAGAGCGTATATTCCGTGACTTATACTCTTTCAGGGTAGCGGAGCTTAGAAGTTCATTGGAGAACCTGTCATCCAAAAACGCGAAGACGTTATCTGACGTACAAGAGAGGGAAGACAAGATAGTGTCTTTGATGGAAGAATTGAAAGTGGCGAATGATAATATTGCTAAGGTTGGCCTATCATTCCTTCCTTCAACTTAAAAGAAACGACAACAGCTTTTCAGAAAAAGGATTTCATTTCCCATGCCATACGTTCCATATCGAAGGTAACGGATTGTATTGGACACGAGCGTGTGCCTCTTCCAGAGCAGTGTACTGATGAGCATCTGCTGGAGAAAGAGATACATCTGATTTTGAACTTCATATCGGAAAATCAGACCGCGATCGCTAAGGTCACTGATGAAAAGGTTTGCTGAAGCTGCTCACATTTTGTTAAGAGGGCACGCAGTCAAGGCAGTATATTTTGCAGACCGCTGTAGAGAAACAGTTATCAGAGGCTCAGGCTAAGGTTGACGCTTCAGCAGCTAGGGTTGCTCAAATGGAGGAGGCTCACAAAGCAGAGAGAGCTCGTGCAGACGATGTACGTCACAAAGTGCTTTTAGTGATTTTTTGCGTTTGCTAATGTCTAACCTTTTGAAGGACATTCACTCTCTCTCGGCAAAGTTGCTCGAATTGCAAAAAGCTCATGATTCTAAGGTGGAGGCGATGGAACGAGAATCAGCTAATAATTGTGATGAGGTCTGCTTGAGTTATTGTTCGAGTGAACTTTCCTGATTTTTGGTTGCAGTTGAAGGCAAAAATCGCTGCTTTGGAAAACTCAGGAAGCAAATTTTGTGAGGACACAGTTGCCATGCTTGAAACGCGATATCAACTCGTAAGTCTGTTGATTCTCTTTTGCATTTCCGTGGAATATGAATCATCCATTTCTTCGATTAAGGAGTTGGCTGACCGTGAAAAAATGTTTGAGAGTGAAAAGAAGGAACTGCAGCGAAAGGTATGCTCTTTAGAGGCTTCATTAGTGGCCAAAGACGAAGAAAAGGTAGGCTTTTGTCACTGAATATAATTTGGCCAGCGATGTCAAGTGCCACTTTTTATTGTAAGAATATCTCCTGTTAGGCGTTAGCTCTGAAGAAGCAGGCGGCTCTCGTCAAGGAGCTACAACGTGCTGTTAGAGAAGAAAAGAAACGAGCTGAATCAATGGAAAAGCTAGGTCGTTGTAGCTCGGAGGAAAGAGGTTGGCATTTAATAGGAGAAACCGATGCGAAGAATGCGCAGGTGAGTTCTGGAGTTGTTTCTGGAAACATTTTGCAACTCGTTGTCATTCTCTTCCCAGTGCTTTTATTCACCACATAGATTCCGTATCGGTGCACTGTCCCCGAGACTCAAATGCAAATGTGTCTTAAGGGGGTGAAGTCATGTGGTTGTTCAAATTTATACCTTCGCAATTGTGGCCAGATCCCAGTGTGGACATGTTTGAGGACGCCTCTTGATCAAAATAATCATTTGTTTTTATTCTTCGTTGACATAGAGGGGCCGGAGTTTGTTAACGGCTTAGCAACTTACTACAACTTACCAGAGCAATGTTGCAATTTGTCGTAGTAATTTTTAATGTACGCAGTAAAATCATCACTACTGATTGTGAGAAAACAATTTTCTCTAGACTTTGGATGGCCTCGACAGTCGTAGCGTGTCTTCAGCAAGTGCTCTGGAATCAGACAATTTTGAGCTCATCAGCAGGTTGACATCACTGCAACGAACACACGCTGAAACCCTTGACCGCGTAAGTTTTTTTTTAATCTTTGATGGCGCAACTCATTTTATTTTTCGTTCTACTTACCATCTTCATTGCCTGCTCTGTTATCTATCTTCCTTTGAAATGCCTCGATACCATTCCAGATAAATGCGCTTGAAGCCGAGAATGCACGCTTGAACTGCGAAATTAATGAGAAAAGTGAACTCATTGAGCACTGGATAAGAAGGCGACCATTAGCGCAAGGAACCGCTGTATCGACGCCATCAAGAACAGAAGGTACAGCGGCTCTCTAATTTCAACATCAATTTTTTACTTTGTATCTGAGGTTACTTCCTTATTTCCCCCTCCCTGCATCGAAATGCGGCTCTCGGAATGCGTGAGGCTCTCGGAACCTCATATTACCAACATCTTTTGTTACTGCAGTGGCGATCCAAAATTAGAAGTGAAACAATTTAACCACTCAGTGCAGCCGATTATTTTTGATTCCCTTGTCTCATAGACCTCTTAATCGGATCTAGTCGTACGTTACTTCGCAATTGACGAATATGTCAACACTTTTTTCACATCTAAGCAGTCTTTTAGCTGCGTCCAACTCTGAGTCTCTTCAGAGATACCTCATGTTCATTCATTTCATTAATTAGACTTAATCGTTCTAGGTACCTTCCGAAAGCTCTTGCTGTCAACATTGCCAACCGATGAGGCCACTAACGACATCAAAGAAATGAATAAAAAACTTCAACGTATGCTAGAAGAAACTTTATCAAAGAACATCATTCTCCAAAGAGTAAGTTTTCGATCTTCAGTCCTTCACGTGTATCACTTTCCATCCCGGTGAGTATCGATTCGCTTGTTTAGCATCACTATATTCTCGAAAATTCCGTCTAAATCCTCGTCTATTGGGAACTTCGAGCTTTCTTCTTTCTACAGCATATTGAATGATATAAACTGCATATCCATCTTGCCTGTGCAGAACCCCTGTGTTTGTTGAAAACTCAGTTAAAACAGGAGTGGCGGTCGAATGTTTAATATACTAGTACCACGTATTCCGACATGAAACTCTTCATCCGTTCTCCTGAGGCAGTCTCAGCGTAGAACTTACTTCCTCTGTCTTCGAAAAGGGTGGTTCTTTCAGCAGAACTGTACCTCATTATGAATTGCTTACAACCCATGCTCATGTTAGTTAAATTTATTGTGGAGATGGAGAGGGTTGCTAGAGCTAAGGCTGAGCCATACCTTCTGAATGGTAAATGTTATAGAAGAAGTAGTGTTCATGGAAAGGGCGAATTTGATCAGAGAGCTGACGCCTCTGTCGACGTAAGCTGCGAGGAAAAATTCGTCCCACTACGAAAATTCTCTTCCAGCCAGTCCGACGAAGTCGCATTTGATATTCGTGGCCGTTATTGTCAGATAATCAATATGCGCATACGGTCTCAGGTGGACTTACCATGAAAATCAGTGTCCTAGTCTTTCATAGTTTCCTTTCGTGATTTTGAAATTTTGAAAAGGTCAGCTGATTTTTTTCCAGGACCTTCAAACACTCCTGGAGCGCACAGAGATGTAACTGATTAATATGTTCAAAGAATTTACTGTTGACTGCTGACCTTCGATATGCTTTCACTTCTGCCGTTGTGAACTGGTTGTGAGCCTAAGTTTTCTCATTCTGCGATTATTGCTGCTATATTTTTTTATTCTTAATGTTCATCCACTGTGTCACATTTATTTGTTTACTATAGAAGAACTCTCGATTTATCCTTCATTTGCCTTCATTCCTCAGATGAATTTTCTCTCACCTTCGCATTAAATACGACGCAGTAGTTTAACGTCCTTCTCATTGTGGAATATTTAGCATAAGCACTTAGACGCTCAATATAATCAAGCATAATGAACTTTAACGCTATGAAATAGCTTCTAGTCACTTTAGTGTGCAGTTGAACTTGAGTGATACTATTTCATGTACAGTGTATGGCCTTGGAGCTAAGGTTGTGACATTCTCACTGCTGCCATGGCAACTCCGAATAAAAAAAATGTAGATACGTTTTGCAATAATATCCTTTTCTGGAAGTAGTCAATTCCTTTATTACAATGCTAAGCATTATAGTTGTGAGTTTCAGTGGTTCGGAGCATGAGTTAAGTTGTCTCTAGATTTTTCTTTTCATAGTAGCTTGTTTTTTGTCATATTGTTTAGTCCTATTTAAATCTATAAAAGAGCGTAATAAAGTTTAGTAATTGGGTTTATTTTGCATATGAACAAATCGTTTTTTACTGTATTTCATCGATTTACCGTGTCTTGTGTCTATGCGATAATATTAATGAGTAGAAGTAATCATTTAGAATATTGGGCGATGCTAGACATCGATGACACTCCTGGGGGTGCTGGCTCAGTCGAATCATCGCTTCTCGATCATGGCTTGAACAGCTCTAGTGTTGCTGTCAATCAGGTCAGTTCACAGTCTTGGAGGCAATGGATCCTAATCGGGGTGAATCCACACAGTAGAGGGTGTGTGATCGGCCGTGATCCTGATCATGAGAAATTGTAGGTCACGCAAGCACCTTGTTTTCTGAAGCGACTACGAGGGACCTCATAGTTTATAACGTGGAAGCTGGTCTACTTTAAATTCAAGGCCGATGGTTCTTGTGTGGGAGGTTGTGGCAATAGCATCCGCTGCTCAAAACTGAGGCCCTTGAAGTGTTGTGTAATGTGATGTACAAACTAGAGCATCACATCTTTTAGTTGTTTGCCTAGCACAATGGTCCAAGTGTTCAATCATAACTTGGTTGTATTACCTGCTATCTTTGTATAGCTTTTTCTTCATAGAGAATAGCAAGGAAGGCAGACGTTCCTTACTTGTTTTAGTTGTTCCCTGTGGAATTAAGTATACAAGGTTGTAAAAAAATTATTCATGGGGCATTGTAACGATACTATTGTCTTTCAAGAATAACGTGATATTTCTCACTCCTGTCCTCACATTTCACTCCACATTCAAATTTCGGGTCGAATTTTTATTTTCAAATATTGTCCCCTTGTCTAGAGGTGGATTCGGCTAGAAGTTGACACCACGAGTAGATTGGCACATCAAAAGAGGGCACCGAGTGCTGAATCAATTTGGATCCCTGAATTAGAACAAAACTTTCATAGCGTTAGTTTGACCCCTAAACAGGATTCCCGCAGTTGTTTTTTGTAAGATATCGCTTTACGATTTAACGCGAGCGCTCGGCTTTTTGCTTGTAGAGGCTACGATATTCACGTCCACAGAGCAAAACCTATTTTGAACAGGAAACTCGAGTATATCGTGCCCAAATCAGGAAAAGTAGGGTCTAATTGTGTATGGTGCCAGGAATTTTTCAGTATAGGTGTGTTCCATTTCAAATGGCATGGCGGGCTAGATTTCGCTTGTGCCGGGACCACACCACTTTCGATCTTACAAATAGAGTGGAGACGCCAATTTTTTAGATTGAGCTAGGAGAGGAAGAAGCAGTTGAACCACATGTCAGTGCAGAGTCTGTGCTCGATCGCCTGTCTAAATTCCCCTACCAAGTGTTCGTTTTGTCTGAATATGGAAGGCCCATCTTTGTGTCGTGAGTTGCTAGTTTTTAACTGTTGTCTTATGTCAGATCGTCTTTCCTATCCTCCAGTCTAAGAACGAAGCGAAATTTTTCTTGGTATCTCACTCCCGTTAAGATCGAAGGTTAACTTCTGCGTGTTACTTTCCCTTCTGTCTTTTTCCGACTAGCGATATTATTCGCTTTTTGACTCTTCCACGCGATAGCATGCTATGTTTGAGACGGCGATATCTATGACAAGCAAGACATCCTTTCCCACGCAACCTTTGATTGTTGTTCTATGACTTTCTACGAACGAACAACCGATTCTATGGTGTAGACCTCCTCTGCACCATGAGACTTGTTTATGGACGCTGAGTTTTTTCCATTTTATAACCCGCTGTGGCCTCACCACAGCTTACAATTGCCCAGAATGATTTCCTGGCTAGAATGTCGAAATAACAGATGATCTCACTGGTTCGCATTCTTTGGATTTTTTGCTTCCAATAATTTCTCTTTACGAAGCAGTCATTCGTATTCATGGTTGATTGTTCTGGGTCTGATGTGGTTGCCTTATTTGAAAACTGTAAATTCAGTCGCCAAGGTTGCAACTCCTTCGCTTTCTTGTGGGCCCAAATCTGCTTCGAGTTCAGGATTTGAACTTAAACATCACCATAGACTCAAATCGCCCTTCTACTCAGATGGCATAAAGTCATTCTACGGAAAATTCTATTCCGCTGACACAGAGAAACAGTTGAAACATAATAAATATCATATAACTGGGAGACAACGCGGGTTTGTGAGCTAACTCTTTATCGTAGCTACAGCATGGATGCGGATCTTGTTATTACCTGTTTTTCCACCGCATCTGCTAGCACGTCAACAACAGTGATAACAGGAACAAATAGCAGGGTGTCACTGGGAATGATGACAGAAACATTTTCCTATGACCAGAGGGGCTGATTCCAAGGCTTCAATTTCTAAACACAAATGTCAGGAACGAAGTGTTTGCAAATGTTCAAACCGGTAAGAGTCATTACCCAGGTAGAGCTGATAGGTGCACCAATGGAGCTGGAAACAGGAAACAATTCACTGCTCACGCTGCGCGCGTACCTCACGTTAACTCTGCACCCGCTCCAAATAGCTAAATACTTTCGGGACGTGTCGGATAGAAATAGCGTTCTCCAGTGACCCCGTTCCCCTGACTACCATTTATTTTCCCTTTGGGCTTTTCAAGCTGATAAAACATCAAAAGTTATGATCTTGGTTAGGTGGTGAGAGATTTCTTGGGTTCCCGGTCCCTTCGGTTTTGGTAAGTCGCTAGTCTGCTCCTTAGGTAGGAAACGTTAGTGACTAATGCTGGTAATTATGTTGTTCAGTAATTCCAATTGTGTGCTGAGTAAAAAAAAAAGAAAAAAAGAAAGAAACGGCCCGACTCACTCACTTTCTCATCTGCCTTGGGAGCTCAGACTAGCAGGTGCTTATGTTGCTTTTAAATCAGAATGGTAAGAAGGAGAGCCCGACCAATGTGGGTCTAGATGAGATCACAACACTTACCGTACGTGAGAAGAGTTCATCAGGAAAGATACAATGACTTATATGACAACCTAGTTGGCACATGGTCAACAATTATCACATAAAACTGCCGCTCAAGGATGAGCCACAGACATGAAAGGAAGGGGGTTTCAAAAATCCGAAATATTGAAGTCAGTTCGGCCTCTCGGACTACTTCCCCATAAGATCGTTTTAATGGTCGGGCCATGCTCACATTTGTGTGCGCCCTTTCTTAATAGGTGTCATGATAATCTAAGGAATTGACTAAAACTTATTCCCAATCTGAGCCTCATAAATCCTTCTCAGGTGTGGCCATGAAGATCAGCTGTGTTCGCTGTTTGCTCTAATTGGAGTTTTCGTTTCGAGGGTGAAATTATGGGGAGATCGATTGCTCCAACTTTCATCGGGTGATGTACATGTTCGTTTCTGCCATCGATCATCGCTTATACTTTGCATAGGTAGGTGTTACGCAATCTCTGCAGTCTATCATAATGTGAGGGAGCGCATATCTGTTTTTGGAATGATTTGACAATTACAGTGTCACGATCTTACGAGTTACTGGATGACCAATTGAATGTGCTGTTTGACCAGATTGTATCCACCTTATCGAGGTCGCAGTTGGATATAGTCTACAAGAAGAAAGGCGACAACTATGATTTGCGGAGGCTACTAAGAGGCACTGACAAGTATGTCATTTAGTCTGTTATGCTTTTGATATTGATAATTCAACGTTGTCAATCAAGTGGGTAATCATAAGATCGTCTAGGTCCCAAAAAGCTTCAAGACAACTCATTGTGAGGTTTAGTCCTTCTACATTCTTCGTTTCCTTTATTCTTTTCTCCCAATTTCTAACGTGATACCGTGCCGTGATGGTAACCTTCAGACTACTATGGTTGATTTGCTATTGAGAATTCTGAGAGGAAATGGATTTTTGATAGTAAAAGAGCTAAGAACGCAGTACCCGGGAAGTGTAAATGCAGAGTGACTAAGTGTCAGTTGTTTTTGTGTGGTGTCTCCATACCTATGCTTCGAAAGTCAGATACAAGGCTCACTGGCAAGCAAAAAAAAATTTAAATCGGAGATTGTGTTGCAGATACATGGACAGTAGTGTGTCAGCATGGCGCACCGACATCTCGTTACTACAATCAGCCATTCGGATACTTCCAATGCAACCGTCCGACAGGGACTATTTATCGTCTACGATGGTTTCATGTCTTACAGCTGCGAAACTTGACGTGTGTTCGTATTCGCATTTGATAGTATCTCTCACTTCCATTATTCCCCATCTTTAAGGGAGTTCTTTTTGGTTTGATGATTGCCCACCGACAAGTGGCAGCCATGGTACGTCTCAGACGCTACGCTTTGCATCCTCGTGACACACACATTCTCTTGAACTTGATCTCGGGAAACAGTTCTCTCCGAATTACGGAGGCGCAGACATGGACACCAATATGTCTGCCAAATTTTAATGACAAGTAATCTCTCTACAAGTATTGCCTGAGGGAATTTAATTGATTTTATCTCATTCAGGGGTTTCGTTTATGCCTACATCTCATTTCCATGGGAGGAGAGTGCTGCTTGTCTCATCTTGATCTCGGTCAAAAAAGACCACTTCGACCCATTGAATGAGGTTTTTTAAAGTCAAGCTTCTCAATGGGTTTCAGCTAACTCATTTGAGGTTAATTAAGGTCAAGAAAAAAATTGTGGAAAAGCTGGAAGGCAATACCAAGTTCTTCCCCAGTTTCCAAACTTCTGTCGAAACGCCCGTTGCCTTCAGCATATCTCAGGTTGGATGTGTGTGATGATGTTGGCTTGTTTTGTTAGCTATAATTTTCCGATTCAGATTGGTACTGGTAGCGACGTTTTGTGGTCATTTGTTTACAAAAATCGATCTTCACGTCAAGTCTGCATTTCTGGTGCTAAGTGAGTTTTAAAGGGGATTTATCGGTTTTGGCAAGGATTTGTGCTGACATTTATTGACATTTGACAAAATGGAACACGAGGTTGATGTTGAGGTCATGATGCGATGCTTCCGTTTTGTATAGACCCTCTTGACATATCTCGAACTTAGGTATGAAATGTAGTGTGTGGCTTCCAGTTCAGGCAACGGCGGTGCACTGATCAGAAGCACCAATTCCACCGTTCATTTGGATGAATCTTTTTTGAGTTCACATAGCCACCCTCCTGCCTTCATCAGGATGTTTTCGGGATTTAGTTTTCCCTCTCCTCACACTTTTCCAGTTTCATAGGCGAAATTCCGATCCACTGTTATGCCATTCGTTTAGCTTCTGGAATGTCTTCTAGGTCGGACCTGTGGCCTGAAGGATTGTACATGGGGCAGTGACGAGCCTAAAACTTTCACTGAGCGTCGTGTTAAGGGTTCTAATAGCGGTTTGGCCGACGAACGTACCCGAAAGTGGAAGTGTTATGACGGCCTTGTTAAGGCTGCATCATCCACAGTGAAGCCTTAGGACGCCAACGAATAATGCGCTTATATGGGAGGCAACCAGACGGTTACAGACGTCGGCGCAGTTATACGGAACCTGCGTTTACACGTTTTCCAAGGAAGCAATTTTTTGTTGTGAACTATCCCGTCAGTCCCAGAATACATTCAAAGAAAGATAATTTCGCCATTTCTGTCCTCTGTGCCCAGCTCTTTATGCTATAACAGCCTGACATTTTGGCAGAACCCCTTACTCGACAGAAACTGTCATCATAGTCTTGTACAACCCCTTTTTTACTTATTCCTCTTTTTATAACCTTATATTTTTGAAAATCTGGCGGTTTTCTCGCTGTCTTCGTCACCCTTTCCCTTCTTACCAGGAAAGGATACCAAGTCGCAGTGGCCATTTAAGATAAGATGTATACCGACGTAGGTAGTTTCGAGCGCTGATCTTAAATCTGAATTCCAAATCTGCGAAACGGTTCTGGGAACAAAGTTACAGGTCCTCTCTCCCCAGGTGTCTTGTAACTTCTTCGCTTTTATACGAGAACCAAGCAGTACGAAACGTGCAGAGATGGCGCAGTTGGGAGGACGATGGACTAGTAGGCGTGGCATCGGAGGTTCGAATCCTTTATGTGCCAGCTTGTTTCGCTTTTTTATAAAAAGTATATTAAACGCTTGTAAAACCCTTTTATGCGTCATATCGACTACCTACGCCTCTCCTTCACATTTATGGAGCACCAAAAATGCTGATACAATTGAATTTTACTGCGCAATACTGTTTCTCATTTCATTTAGACGGGAGCTGTGAGAGTGACGGGTGTGGTGAACTATTTTTAATACGTTGTTCACATTGTGACAAGCTCTTTTGTTTCAAACACTTTGTACTGGATTATCATATCTGTTCATGAAATGTACACATATTGTTCGTATGGTATTTTTGCATAAAAGTACATCTGAACTGTATCAGTTCTCTTCTACCCGTGCAGAGGGAGAGCATTACTTCGTGCAGAAGCGCTATAACCTGGTGAGTCACCTGATGGATCAGAAAGGTTTTATGTACACCCTTATTCGGTCTTTGGAGGTGGAGGCCGTGAAAAAAAAAAGAAAAAAATTCAATTGTATCAGCATTTTTGGTGCTCCATAAATGTGAAGGAGAGGCGTAGGTAGTCGATATGACGCATAAAAGGGTTTTACAAGCGTTTAATATACTTTTTATAAAAAAGCAAAACAAGCTGGCACATAAAGGACTCGAACCTCCGATGCCACGGCTACTAGTCCATCGTCCTCCCAACTGCGCCATCTCTGCACATTTCGTACTGCTTGGTTCTCGTATAAAAGCGAAGAAGTTACAAGACACCTGGAGAGAGAGGACCTGCAACTTTGTTCCCAGAACCGTTTCGCAGATTTGGAATTCAGATTTGAGATCAGCGTTCGAAACTACCTACGTCGGTATACATCTTATCTTAAATGGCCACTGCGACTTGGTATCCTTTCCTGGTTAGCACCATGAATTCCATTATTCTGCTCAACTGGGTACCATAGAATTATCGTGAAATCTGTTTTCAGCATGGCCATAGATTGTCTCTTCTGCAGATTTCTACATTTAATGCAGTATTTCTCAATAGCCCCGAAGTGCTTTTGTTAGGCGTCGGAAAAGGGTGTGGCGGCATTGAAAGCTGTTTTCACAATGACGATGTTTCACCTTCAGAGTTCCGTTGATCTCACGAGCTGAGAGGATCAGTGCACGGACTTTGTTTGAAAGAATCACTCATCTAGTCCGGGAGGAATCTCACATGCGGTGTCTTTTTTTGAAGAGGAATCGTGACAACGTCCTTGTATGGGTCAGTTCCTCGATAAAAAATTCCCTTTCCAATTTCACGTTTTTACCGTCATCTATTTCAGGTAACCGACAAGTTTGAGTTGCAGTGCGTCTTTAGCCCATTGGTGTCGGCAGTAATGGCTACCACTTTGGTTGATCGCCTGTTGAAAACGCTAAAATATCATGAACAACGATATTTCATAATACACACACCTTCATTCTAAATTATATGAGATTTATCATTGTAAATAAATATTAGTATCGAGATGGGAGAGGCTAAGACCAAAAATGCTACGTTCTGATATTCAAAGCATCTGATGGAGTTCGACTTGAGATTCGTCAATAGAGTAGCACTGATTGGACGAAAGCCCCTTGGGCCAACCGAGAGAGCTCGTGCCACGGTTTGGGCAAGTACTGAAAAGACCGCAGAATGTAGATTGTAGATTGAAGCTCGGGGTATGCGACCCCAAGGAGCGTCACAGAAGAGATGATGGGACATGATCAAGAAGGACCTCGCCGAAGCTGAAGCACTGGTAGAAAACGCCGTGGACAGAAAGAAGTGAAGCTGCTGACAAGAACAGCGGACCTTGCAACGGCGCGGATTTAACGCTAGGGAGAACAAGAAGAAGAAGGAATAGATTGCCAGGCTCTAAGTTGTGGGTTGGGTTGACTTCTGGTAGCTAGCTAGGGTATCCCAGAATGGACGAGGAGCTCTGTTTTTGAATACAACCTGGAATCGCCGCCTGGAGACTTCTCAGCCACTCGAGTGTAAGCTGAGTCGATGTTAAGAATATCAACTGTACCCTTAACTCCCCAGACACGTGTGCGTAGATACTCCTGTGAGATACAGTAGGTATATTGACGCAGCACTGCAGAAACAGACAGTCCATACTCTGAATCCACCTGCGTCTCTAAGCAAGTACAGGCAACTTTTGATCGGCGATCTGCTCCCTTGTCCGCCACCTTGAGGCGTCTCGTTGCTAAACGGATGAGATCTTTCAGTGAGAGCGAACCTCAGTGAAGGGGAAAAGTTACTGACAAACATGGGGGAGAGGATTTGTAGACCCTGAACAAATTTTCTTGCTACGGCATGGCAGGACCGCTCTTTGAAGAGGTTTTCATGATCAACGACCGAAACGCGGCATGATTTCCTTCCGAGTGAGCGAGCACTTTATAGAAGAAGATCAAAGGCACAGTTCACGATTGAAATGATTTGTGCGATTTCCATAAGAATAAAACTGTGACCCCCTATATGGCGCTGTTAGATCGAAAAACGACTTAGGTAAGACGTTATAAGGGCGCAAAGGTTGTATTGGCTGTATGCACCAAAGGCGGACCAGTTTTAACGACATTCCAGAGGTAGCACCGTCCACAGGAAACACCCGTAGGAAGTTCAAACAACATGTGACCCATGGCAACAAATCGGCTCCTCACGCAATTGTAACAACAGGAATCTCGTCCGAACACCCCTTCTATGCCATTTCCGTCATGACAATCTCGTACAACATCTCTTTTCACTGCTTTTAAGATACCTTCGCTCTCACAAGTCGGCGAATTCTTGCTTTCTACCCGACCGATGCACTTCCGATTTTCGATTTAAAAAGGGTACCTGACAATTATCGTGAACATTGCCTTCAGAAAGCCTCTCCAAAAAAAGAAAAGATGTATATTAGGTTGTCGGAAAAATATTTGCGCCTTTTGCAATTTTTTTTTTGAATTTATTTTTTTCCTTCACAATAACAAACAATTAACAAATATATGCACCATCATTATCGACAAGGAATTGCCATTCACCAGGCAACTTGTGGTTCCTGCTTGCATAGTATTCCTGGGGTTTCGAGGAGGAAAACTCGTCAATGTACGTCTCGAGTTGATTCACATAATCGAACTTCTTATTTTTCGGATGGTCTGACAGCGACAGGAGCAGATGATAATCCGTTGGAGTTAGGTCTGATGAATACGGTGGGTGGGCCATAACATGCCATCTCAGGCTTTGAAGCTTCTTCTGGGTCTCCTTCGACAAGTGTCGGCGAGCACTGTCGTGGAGAAAATAGACTTTCCCGAGTTTCTCTCTTAGAGCTGCAGCAATCCGGTCCACAGAGCACACTGGGCTTCTGTGCTGACAGCGGAGTTCGGTGGTAGAAAGTCCCAGTGAATGATCCTGTTGAATGGCTACAAACGCTTGACATTGCCTTCTGAGGTAGGAATTCGGGATTGGAGGTCGGGATTCCATGCTCTACGCATCTAAGCCACTGGCGCTTCCTCGTGTGGTTTAAGAAGGGAACACACTTCTCGTCGCCAGTGGTCAAGTCTTCCAGCCATGCGAAGGTGCGTTGGAAAGTCATCAAGTTTAGGCATGAATCCCTCTTCATTTGGAGGTCGTGACCACCCAGATCAAAACTTATCCATATCTCCAAATCTCCCTCTTGCTTCAGCTGATGGGTACTAAACCTAGAATCTTCTTCAACCAGTTTCAGGAGATAGTCAACATTGAGCTCAGCTAGTCTCCTAAATCGTGGTTCTTCGGTCCAGTCAAAGTGGCCATTTTTGAACTTCTTGTACCAACTTCTTGATATGCTATTAGAGACAATGAATGGTGCTATCGCATCGCATATTCCCCCTCAATATGGATTAGAGTTTTTTTCTGAACTTATGAAGAAAAGATAGTCTGACTAGCTTTGAGTCGAGAGCGATTCTTGCAGCCATAGCCGTTGCGAAATACGACGGCAGATATGGTGTGGAGAGCGCATTGACCTGCACTTACATATATTCCGCAGTGAAGGCTCTAGAGCAATCCCCAAAGATTTCACAACATGGAAACCAAAATGCGCAAATACTTTTCCGACAACCTAATACATAACAAGTGCCTGAGCAACGGAAGAACCGACTTCAGGAGTTATGATTACGAAGAAGAAATTGCTTTGTCGATTTGAATATTGGAGCTACATTCCAACGAAACTGCAAGTTTTTATTTTTCGGGTGTTAATCCAATTTTCAAGTTCTTGCAAACTGATAGATACATAACTTATTTTGCAATCTGATCAAAATATCAAGAAAAAATTCTCTGACAGCAACTTTCCAACATTCCGCTTACAACCATCAATGAACATATGTACAAGATCACAGCAAATTAGAACACGACCTCGTTTTTAAATAGAAATTTGAGATCGTTTTGCAGGAAATGAGCTAGAGTTATAGCTGTCTGTCGGGTAGCGATAGCCCATCGGGGATCTTCTTGTGGAGCGATCACCTGAATAGCAATTGAACTGGAATAGTGTGGATGATATGCCTTTCCGGATAGTTTGGATTCGGTCGCTATAGTTTGTAAGTTGTAGTATTGTAACGTAACCTTCCAGCAACAGGAAGCTGCGAAGCAGCATTACGATAAACGAAAGTATGAAACTGGTGAAGGTCAAAAGAGATGAAGCAAATATTTTCAGCTTTAGAGAACAACACTGATCTTCAAAAGGGGGGGGGGGACTGGATTAGAAACGTCTTGCCATGATATACATCCATGATATGTTCCCTATGTTCATTCAGTAAACTCGTCCTTATAATCCTAATACAGAGTGATTGCCCTGCAAATGCCGTGCTCTCCCCCGTGTAAAGTCGGTCCCTCACTCAAGTTCCTTTCGAATTTGGATGCTCTGGAAGGAGAGCACAACAAAACACAACGCAGATATCCGGCCGAGCACGGGCAACACACAAACCCGAGACACCTAGTGCTTCACACGTCATGAGCGGAGCCCTGCTCAACTCAGGTGTGTCCATATAATTAGGTTCATTTCCCTTTTTTCAACTTGGCTGCACAGATTTGCTCAGACTAACCCCCTCCACGGACGGGATCCAGTTCAGTGCTTTCTAGCACCCGCCATCTTAATCCTAATCTGCCGCCGGTACCCATACCAAACTTGGACGCCTAATTTCCAAACTAAAAATTTTGCGAGTTCTCATAATGTCGCCTGTACCCCTATCGAATGTGAATGCTCTATGCCCATATTAACAGCTCCTGATCATACCCCGCTCTTTAGGGACATAGTCCAGGCCTGCCGCCCACCATACGTTTTCCCATCTTACCGCCTTCGAACCGTTTGGTTCATAGGAAAGGAGTTATGAATTTGCAGTCAAACACACACACAGGCAAACCAACAGAAGATGGTAATAAGGAGTAAAGATTACAAGTAGTCGCTGTTGTTCTCCATTCTAAGGTCTCGTTATTCGTTGCCCTACAGTATCATCTTGACTTTCTATTCCTTCCGGATTGAGGATCCGAAAGCGAATGAGTGCTAGCTGATGGAATCATACCGAACAGGTTGTGTCACGAGAAAGCTGTCCAGGTATAGGAACGGGCGCGTAAGCAGAGAGAGAAACCGTAATATCGATACGTTTTTATATATTTCAACAGCAGGAATTAGTAACCAATCGGTGAAGAGAAGATGGATGTGCTATTTTGGGGATTTCTTATGGGGCAATGTAGTATTACGAGGTTTTCTAAGACTATTTCTGACTAACCTGACTAACTATCACTGACTAACCTTGAAGGCTTCATCGGGCATTTCAAGATACATATATCGGTGTATCCGTACCAACTCGTACCATTGTTTTTTGGCATCGTTCACTGGAATAGCAAGAACTGTTTTTACACAATTGAATTATTACGCCACAAATGCAGATATTTACTTCACTTCAGTAGTACTGGAGATATCACATTCATGATGTTAAAGTCTTTGACGTCCATAAATCCCGTACTTGCGATCGCTGCATTCGACTTTGATTCAGAGTCGTAGTAACGGTTTAAAAGTTTACATACTGGCCTTTAAAATGACTTGCGATGGCCAGCCAATGTATAAGTCAGGGCTTTTATACTCTCAGACGGGTATGATAACCGAGACCGGAGGGATTGAAGGTTTGGTTGACATGGGTGTGTATCGAGTTGGGACTGTGAGTGCGGACCATGCATGATAGGGCGACACTGAGGGGAGAGGGGAGAGTCATCAAAAAATCTAATAAATATCATTACTTCTACCACAGGTCTGGATATCATTCGTACCTGTGATTTCAAAAAGGTCAGCTATTACGTTCCACGCCTTATCTGAGTCCTTGGAGAAATGGCCGTCGTAAATTTCTGGGTGAATCCGCACGGCCTCGACGAAATCAGGTAAGAGTTCATGGTGTAATGTCATCTGAAATGATGAGTCACTCGCGGGATATGACATTTAAAAGTATCGGGAATATGGAGGACACGGAGATACTACTAAATCATTGTTGAGAATAGTCTCTTGAACGCTCTATCTACATGAAGAAATGAGCCAGGACCGGACTTCTTAGATTCTGAATCAAAAATTCCCAAATTCCGCGGGAAGTTTAATTTCAACACTCATTGCTTTGGTCTTCCAAACTGTTACCGAGATGGGAGTATTCGTTAAGATATGAGGATTCGCGAAAGCAAGAGGCGATAGACTGGCATATAAGTCCCGTTTCCTTTGCTAGCGCTATGGCTATGCTTCAACTGTGCTATGGCAGACAACCACCGCTCTTTTATAGGACAGCAGACCAGCCAAAAGGTATCATCAATACGTGAATCACAAAGACCTTTGAAGGGAAAACATTAAAAAACGGTCAGTGATTTGGAAGCAAAGTGGAGACCGTTGCGATCAGGAGCGAGGAGACCACAAACAAGGACCGAAGGCAAATAAAACAGGTGCATAAATGACGTTATGTTATGAAGTTATGAGGGACAAGTGCGGTCTCGAGAGAGGCTAAAATCCACGTATACCGCTTTGGAGCACTGTGCATATCCATTAAGTAGCTGAGGTCACGCCTGTTTTTCTCAATTCTCAGTCGGAGGGTGATCACAGTGTTGTTAGGCATAGGCTCTGGTCAGCGTCTTGAAAGGCACAGGAAATTTGGCTTCCCATAATTCTGCCTCATGCGACTGCAAAAAACAGTATTCATAAAACAAATCGAATCAATCAGAACATTTCTGGTGCTGGAGGCAAGAATGGAGATTGTAGTTTCGTAGCGGCCAACAGTGTAGACTCAGCGCTTGTGACCCTACACAAAAGTCTAGAACTAGTTAGCTGATTGATGTGTTGAGAGATCGGTTGGATCTGTAAAATGGTATTGCGGACAACAAATAGTCAGAGAATGGAGAGCAACAAAACTGCAAGGGGAGGAAGCATGTCAATGAAGGGAGCTATAAAAGGATATTCCGAAAAAGGAATCAGACAAAGGTTATTTCCCAAAAAGTTGTCATAAAGATCTGGAGGGAATTCAGAATCCCAGCAAAAAACCAACATGAAATGATGGGAGCGAAAGCTACATAAGCCAGTGCCCTCAAAAGGATTTGACTGCGAAAAGCTTTCTCGAACTGAACACGAAGTCCATATTAGCTTCGTGCCAAATGAGCTTCAATCAGGGTGTCTACTATCTTGTGGTGCTTGAAAGAAGCCGTAAACAAAGTTGTGCGCATTTGGAAACCTCATATGCCGACTGGGACGGCACACTCAACTCCAGAGGAAATGCAAGAAGAATAGGCTGCTCAGTGTCGAGTCTGGATGCTAGGCGCCAAACAATCCGACATGTTTATGTGATAATTGAAAAGTAGTTATTTCAATGTACCCTTAACTTGCGCAGTTAATTGTCCTTACCTGACCCTTTCGCTTCGGAAGGGTTACCCATCAAATCGGGATGAAGGTGTATCACCTTCAAACATATGGGCTTCATTTTACCAAATTACCATTCTTCCCAGACGAGAGATTAGGTGAACAAAAAAGCGATTCATTTCAGGTTTGTAAGCTCTTGGTACTGGTGTGTATAGAAGGGGAACTACCCGAAAGCAGTCAATAAAGCATTAATAACAAACCAACTCTGGAAAAAGGGTCCGTAGGATTCCATTGAAACTCTGCCGAAAACTTTAACGCAACCTAAGCCCACTTGAAATAGTCAGCGAGGGCCTCAAGAGGAAGCGGCAGAATGCAAAAGCGCTCCAAGGGCTCTTGTTAGAGCAGCAAAGGTGAAACGAAAAAACGCAAAGCTCATTACTACTCAAACAAAGGTTTCAGTCGATTTCAAAAATGGGGATCACTTCTTTAAGCCTTAGCACTTTTGATCCTTTTCAAGTAAGACTTCGTGAGACCTCAATGAGGTTAAAGGCGGAGTCAAAATGACCGAACACCTGAGAGTAAAGTCCAAATGAACTGTGAAGGAGGAAATATAAGAAATTATGTACGGGTCATAAATCATACATAGTCGGGAACTGTCAAGAAGGAATGTGTCTGAAATTCACTGTCATCATAGAAGCGGGCTTTTAGGTAGGGGATGTTACCTTCGATGTTTTGCCTGACTTTTCTGTACTACGTCATTGGAACCCTTGGCAGAATGCAACTGCCCGAAACCCTTACCGTCTGGGAGATCTCCCTTATCAAAACTGCTGTCACTTTGGGAAAAATCCATCAACAACAAAACGGTTTGCCTCGCTTTATTCTACATTTCCTTTGAGTACTTTACAATGCATGCAGTGCGTTTCTTATTGCCTTCACCGTCGCTACTTTTATCTGACCCTAATGGGAGAAAGACATTAGAAGACTGGTAACGAGACTTTAGAAGACCTTTCACTCAGGCGAAGCTGGATAAGTAGGTGCTTGAAGATCGGTCATTCGAGAAATCGCCTGTTTCAACTGACCTTCATTTTTGTTAGTTCTTAATTTAACTCGATAGCAATACCGGCCATAATATAGAGGCGTTGGTCAATTCCACCACTCAGCATCCATGAACAATATCATGATTTTATTAAAGTTGATGGGATGGTCTGAATGGAATGTACCTTCTACGAAGGTATAAGGTAGGCTACGCTTAAAATTGAGAAGAACAATTTGGCATTGCAAAATGTTAGAAAAAGCTGAAAACATGGTCAAGCTGATTCCAAGGGGGAGGTTATTAATTAACGCAACCTTTTTGTCTCTAGAATTAAAAATGGACAATCTGAGTAACCAAAGCTACTGACATTATTAGTTGTGTCCGCATAAAAAAAGGTGATGATTTGAGAGTTGAATATAAACATTCCTACATCTTCAAACAACCATGCTCGACGGCATGGGCAGATTTCACTTCCGAGATTGGAATTAGCTTTGAACTCGCTGAGAAGAAGACGGCATCGGAACCGCATACTGTTTGAAATGTCAGCAGAAACGAGCTAAACACCAGTACTGTCTCACTTGTAATTTCCAAAAAACTAGCTTTGAGAGGAAATGCGAAAAAGTATGGTAGGAAAAAGAAATGAATCGAATTGGGCAGCCCGGTCTGTAACCGTTTGCAGATGAATTCGACTTGATGAGTTTCGTATTCATACACCGGCTTCCATACTGTTTCTATTGGCGTTTTTATATGAGCAATTTGGTCTAAGTCTAATTAGACCAGTCCCTGGAAATGAAAATGTGCTTTTCAAGGAAATAGCACCGAGCAAAGAAAAGGAGAGAGGGTTGTCATGTGGACTGCAAAGGAGCGATAGCTCGTTCTTCCCTGCGATTTCTCCTGCTTGATTGATGAGTCCGGAGAATCGGAAAAGAAAGAAATAACAATGAGCACTACATTCCATATCGGTTTCAGATCTTGTTAGCTTCTCTAGCCCCCCTTTCCTTTGCGATGTCCCTGATAGCTCCACGATGAGCGGGTGTGAGATTTCTTCCATAGGCAGGAATGAAACTGCGTACATGGCTGAGTACAATTCTAGAGAAGTTTCTATTCTCATTCTCTAGTTCCCTCCGGTCGGTACTTTTCCCAGGACACTGAAGGGATCTTAATAAGGAAGAACTCAAAAGCACAGCTGACGATAATTTTGGACTACCCTTTTTAGATGAAAGTGGAAGCGTTGGTGGGGAATGGAGTGCATCGCAGGCAAAGAAATCGAAAAAATTCGTCATCAGGCTTTCTAGGAGTAATGAAAACAGAGGTCATTATGACGAAGTTGCATGGGAGAGGTGTTTGGATTTCAGTTGTTGCAATCGTTTAAAAAAGATAACTACATCAAGCCAAAAATGTTCGAAATTGCCTGACACTATTGTCTTCTAGATGTTTATATTTCCATCATGGGTGTCCATTGCGAGTGGTACAGTCTTTACATTGTCTCGTTGAAACTCGTCCACTTTTGGGTGTGACATACAGCTGAGACAATATTTGATCACTCATGATACTTATCTAAGCTGTTTTCCGATCTGGCAATGCTACCTATAGTAAATGATGAGGCTGCAGATACTGCCAAGATAACAATTTTTATTGTGAACTGGGCCTTCAGCTGTTCTTAGAAGCGAAATGCAGGTAGAGAGAAAGTATATTACGGAGAGAGAACCATCTCCCAGCTTTTTATTCAGTCAAAAGGGCTATCCGAAAGATATATCAGATATGAAATATGTCGCAGTGGAGGGTACAACGGCTATACGAAAAGGAACGAGCCGAGATGACCTCATCATCGTTTTTTGTTTTATTACTCTTTTAATGACTATGTCATCCGGCACGGATGACGAGACACATCAAATATGCGAGCGAGTCGACGAATTCACGAAAAAGTCTCGCACGGCTCTTCTTAGGGGCTTAATGGTATCCAAAGAGTTGGGGGGTGAAAATGAGGGATTAGAGAGAAGAAAACAATCTGTGAATCCCACGGCTGCCATTATCGTTGCAGCGAAGCACTCCAGATAATTCTATTCAAAGGGAATGCAATATGAAACCGCTTGTGGAAAAAACCCAGTTGCACTTGCACCAAGACCGGGGCCTGATTTGCAATTAGGACGCCTACTTTCCTGCCCATTCTCATGCTTCTTATCGGACAATGGTATTTCGTCGAAAATACTGCAATGGCCAATCGAAGGATCCTTCCAATACTGGATAACGAACGCCAACATGAAAATTCTCGGACGAAGCATTCTTTGAGCGGAAGCTACTGAGAAAAACACCCAAAATTTTGCTCGGGTTCCGCATGTGAATGAGTCTTAAGGGTCACTCTTCCTACACAATTTTTTCTCATTCAGCGGACAGCCTAATCAGGAGAACATGCAGAACATTGCGTATGGATTAGGCTTTTAAAGCCTTTTAGGAGGAATCGGAAGGTGGGAACTCAGAAAAGGAGAATCATTCCAGAGCGATTAAATGGTATGAACACTTTGATATTGATTCGTGGTGGAATTGT